CAGCACTTTAATGTACATTGTTTGCCTAAGAAGTCTGTAAATATATGAACTTCACCGTCACCAACATCTAGAGTTGATGTCCATGTATTTGATACGAATAGAAATAACAGAAATATTCGTAAGGCAGTATAATATATATAATATATATAATATAAACTCCTTCCGGAGTCCTTCCTGTGGCTACTGCCGGTCGCAAGCCCGGATAAAGGAGGAGGGTTGGGCATGGGGTTAGCGACAGAATCCCACAGAAAACGAACTCGCTAAAAAACGCTGACCATAAAAAATAATTCAAACGATCTAAACTCTGCCCTGGGAATCAGAAGGTCTTCATTTAGAAGAGTTATGACGCCTCATGATGAAAGCCGCGTTCCCTCGGAAGTCACGAGGCCGATTCCCATTCTGACAACCAGAGCAACCATTTATTTAGGTACATAGAATGCTCGTACAATATGGGAGACCGGGAGAATCTTCCAAATTTCTGCTGAAATGAAGAGATACAACCCGGAGGTGCTTGGGATCAGTGAAACACATTGGACGCAAGTGCAACAACAACGACTAACTTCAAGAGAACTTCTGTTATATTCCAGCCATAAAGAAAAAAATGCCCCACATACACAAGGAGTTGCATTAATGCTGTTCAAACAAGCACAAACGGCACTTACAGGATGGGAATCTCATGGACCAAGGATCATCAAAGCCTCCTTCAAAAAAAAGAAGGAGGGCATAACAATGAACATCATTCAATGCTATGCACCTACCAACGATTACAATGAAGACGCTAAAGATCAATTCTACGATAGGCTGCAGTCAATCATCGAGAAGTGCCCAACAAAGGACATGACCATTCTGATGGGAGATTTCAATGCCAAGGTTGGAACGGACAACACTGGACATGAAGACATCATGGGACGACACGGACTTGGAGAAAGGGACGAAAATGGTGAGAGATTTGCAAATCTATGTGCCTTTAATAAACTGGTAATAGGCGGCACCATATTCCCACATAAACGCGTACACAAAACCACATGGACTTCACTGAATCACTCTACACAAAACCAAATCGACCATATCTGCATCAACAAAAAGTTCAGGAGGACAATGGAGAATGTGAGAACCAGGAGAGGCGCTGATATAGCATCAGATCACCACTTGCTGGTCGCCAAGATGAAATTGAAACTCGAGTAGTACCAAATAACGGGGCGGACAATACCACAAAAGTTTAGGTGTTCTGGGCCACAAGAAGCACCATCACAAGGAGTGGACAACCGTTAACACACTAGATAGAAAGGAGGAAAAAGGAGGCAGCAATCAATACCAGCCGAACGAGAGCAGAAAAAGCAGAGACACAAGCTGAATAGACAGAAGTAAACAAACAAGTGAAGAGGAGCATCAGAACCGACAAACGTAAATGTGTGGAAGATTTAGCAATGACGGCAGAAAAGGCTGCAAGAGAAGGAAACATGAGACAACTGTATGACATAACAAAGAAACTCTCTGGCAATCGCCGCAAACCAGAACGACCAGTGAAAAGGAAGGAAGGCGAGGTAATCACCAATATTGAAGAACAACGAAACAGGTGGGTAGAACACTTCGAAAAACTCTTGAATCGACCAGCTCCACTGAACCCACCCAACATCGAAGCAGCACCCACGGACCTTTCAATCGATGTTGGCCCACCAACAATTTAAGAGATAAGCATGGCCATCAGACAAATCAAGAGTGGCAAAGCAGCAGGACCAGATAACATTCCAGCAGAGGCACTAAAAGCAGACGTAGCGGCAACTGCAAGGATACTCCACATTCTCTTCAATAAGATTTGGGATGAGGAACAAGTACTAAGAGACTGGAAAGAAGGACTTCTGATCAAAATACCAAATAATGGCGATCTCAACAACTGTGATAACTACAGGGGCATCACTCTTCTCTCAATACCGGGAAAAGTCTTCAACAGGGTATTGTTAAACAGGATGAAGGACTGCATAGACGCACAACTTCGTGACCAACAGGCAGGATTCCGTAAGGATCGTGTACAGACCGAATCACAACTCTACGGATCATTGTGGAACAATCAATTGAATGGAATTCATCACTCTATGCTCCATTGGGAGTAATAAGCGTAAGTAAGTAAGTAAGTAAGTAAGTAAGTAAGTAAGTAAGTAAGTAAGTAAGTAAGTAAGTAAGTAAGTAAGTAAGTAAGTAAGTAAGTAAGTAAGTAAGTAAGTAAGTAAGTAAGTAAGTAAGTAAGTAAGTAAGTAAGTAAGTAAGTAAGTAAGTAAATAAGTAAGTAAGTAAGTAAGTAAGTAAGTAAATAAGTAAGTAAGTAAGTAAGTAAGTAAGTAAGTAAGTAAGTAAGTAAGTATAATATAGTGATTTTGGTTTTCGGTAACACGCCAAGTTTTTTTTTGAATAGCTTCAAGGAAGTTGCTTGGTACTCATAATGAGATAGACGACTTCAAGACTTTACTGCTCGGATGAAAAACAAGTCGTTCCTGAAATCGATTTTTCTGTGCTGTACCGGTAATTTCTGGGTGCTAGCACCAGGATTTGTGTTATGACCGACTCTTAATACGTGTTTCATTGCATGGTCGAAAGTGTTTGGAATGGGGATAGTCAATAAACTGTTGAATCCGAGCCACCTACATGTTATGACTTAGAATCGCTTTTACCCCGTCGATACTTTGTCATGAGTTGACCTTGATCTGTCTAGTCTAGATTATGACCTTGGCGCAATAGGCTGAGCGGTTTAACCTTGAGGCTAGTACGCGTGAGTTCGAGATGGAGTAGAGAGAAAACTATTCTAAAACCTGATTGGCTGGCAAGCACGCAAGTGAGAGAAGACAAGACAATTGGAACACTCTGAAATCTCTGAATTCGGATTAGTGCAAAAAGGTACATGAATAAATAAGTGAATATCCTGACCATAAGTTGGGAAAATACAATTATGTCCAAAAGTGGGAATTAGGATAGAAAATAAAGTGCAAAATATTATGTTTCAAATTACAATGGTTTCGGAACAAACGGGATATGGCAATGAATGACAGATCGAACAAAAGCTCAAGTTCTGTAGAATAAAATAGGGACAAAAATAGATATGAGTGTTTTACAAGGTTTGAATAAAATGAAATAACGTCCCAAGAAATAGCTTTCGTCGTTTGTCTGGGCTTCTTATTTCACTGTTCACAACATTATACTACTTAGATTTGAGCCTTCGGGGTGATTTCATTGCTCACCTTCCAGTGCACTCTCAAGAATACTTATCCTTCTAAAGCAATTAAAGAAACACTGTATTTCTACACTAGCTGCGAAAAGACAGCAGTGTAGTGTCGTTGAAAACCGACCTTGATTGCTGTTTGAATTCTTGTTGACTTGTCCTCATACACATTCAATCTGAAAGCAGATGCAGAAAATCTACCATATGCACGTGATCAGATTTTCAATAATAGTATCATTTTGGTGGACTGTCATTACAACCACAGTAAATTTTAGATGGTTCATTATTACGCACTTCAGTGTATCATAGCACAAATGTACGATTCTATGTTATTGACCTCAGGCCAGCTGATGATGAGTTGCCTCTCAGTTATTTCACTGATGCATCTCTGTAGTGCCGTAGAAATATAATTGAATAATATTCCATTTGACATTAAATCACCAATCATTTCCTGCTACTTTCTTATTAATATGGAGACTGCAGTTCTACGGATGCAGTGTAGTTTGTGTAAGTGTGAAATATTTCTAATCTAATTGTTTGCTCAAGTCAAGTATCGAAACTGAAGTATTTGCTAGTCGTAATACAAAGTAATGGAAGTCAGTGACTTAGTGTACGGAGTCACTGGAAAAATCGAATTTTTTAGTGACATCGGAAATATGGGGATGTAATTCTACCAAAAGCAAATATTGTGTGTAAATAACTAGTAAAAGAACAGTAATTAAGTGTTCAAATTATTCCATATTTCCGGCAAGTCCCAAGACGGGGGGTGGAAGTTCTTCGCTGTGACCTAGATTGCATCTCAAAAATTGTATTCGCGTGAGGTGATATGATCGACCCTTATGAAAACTTTCTGGAGGCTATTGATAACGAAGAAACGTATAACAGAAATAAAGTGAAGCATATAATGTTCAATACACCTGGTGAAAATTTATGCATTGTCCTTATATCTATATGCTGTGACTGATGGATTTGAAATAGGAAGCATGATAATTATCAAATCAATGCACAGTGAACTGAAGAACGATATTAACCATATTCTACGGTTTTTACGGTCGATTCTGAACGATATTTTCAGGACAAGTAGCTTTGAGGTTGGCTTCCCACTGCGACAAATTTTTGATATAAATGAAGCGCCCTCATCTGTCTCAATCGTTTTTACGACTCTCGGTTTTTTTGTTCGAATTATTGGTCGCTTTAAGTTCTGTGTTGGTCCTAATTTGTTATCGATGAATGTACCTTATTGAAAACGAAGTATTCACGTACTCTATGCTTCTTTTATAATTATATTTATCGGTTAAGTACCCTACATTATTTTGTGAAGTTTTTGATGTTAATATGATGAATTAAAAGTCATAAACAACTTTTCCGAAATATTTAATTTAGTTATGTCACCATTTTCTGCTGTTCAGTTCTATTTTTTTACAGCGAATTCTGGATCTGACACATGTTGTGTAGGTCTTTTCGTTAATTTGCAATTACCATTATATCGTTTACAAGTTTTAGATTATATTATCTGTGGATAACGGGGATCCTGACAGCTGTTTTGTTTTCGCGTCACTTGATGTTATTACTTTGGTGGTAGTCATGCTAACTGACCGTATTGTTTGCTTATTTTGTAATTTTTGACTGGATGAATATATAATTGATGGATGGTAGCTTTATTTCTTGCTGTTCATGAAAAAACTATGTAAATGTAAAATTACAAGAACCTGTCCAACTAAGCGGTTAGACTACCCACATTGGACAGCACCCAGGGCACAGAGCTGTGCGAGAAATCAACAATCGGGCTATGCAACTGATTGATTTGCACAAACCCCTTACAAAAACACTGTATGTTAGAGTCTTTAACCTTTATGATAATGAAGGTCTTATATCGCGCTGAGGTTTGGCGGAAAAACAATTCAAATTTATCAGGAGGTTGGTATAATTGTAGCTTTTAAAAGCAGAGTATGATATATATCTTGCAAACAACCGTCTGAAACATCTTTTGATCAGTTTATAACTCTTGACTTGAAGTGTATGTAATTTTATTTAAACATAAGGAATCTGTGAATCTTCTTTACTAACATAAATATATGTTGATACAGATACACGGTGCATATATTCATCCACACTTTAATTGCTATACACTCTCGTTACTTAAGCTTGTTCAAAGTACGCAATTGAAGCTTACGAATTAATCAGTGGAATTTTATTTGAAATTAATTAAAACCAATTGGTAGACAAGTGAACAATGGATAAACTTAAGTAAACAGATAATTAATAAAATTCCTATTATAGATGAGTATTTTAAATCCTGAATTTAGTCCCTTCAACATTTTGCCTCTGGTATCAAACTGTCGGGGACCTCCATAAAGGTTTGAACCTCTTGCTAACACCAATATTTTTCTATATATGTAAACATATTGGTGATTTAACGTGCTGAAATAGATTTAGTAGAAATATTGGGATGCTCACTAATCAGTTATCAATCGCATATCTTTATTATCTAACACTTGGATCCAGTTCTAAATTTTAAGAGTCCTCATGTGATTACTTATGAATGTTTTCCTCAGTTGTCGCTCTAGGTGTTCTTTTGGATCAATTTAAAATCGTCGTTGTACATAAATCTGTGTTAGGGTTCTAACCAATGGCATACCAAATTTTTTAAGACCCGTGTACTACACTACTCGTGTTTTCAGCTGCTGTCATGAGATTTAAAATAACAATGATCCAGTTCACTCTTTCACACACAACCGGTACTAGCAATTCAGTTTTTCAAAGTCCTATCCTCAGTTTCCCAAGAATGCAATTCGAACTGCGTGTTAAGACTTTTCATGCCCGGATTTTGTGTCACAGTGTTTCACGCCATTAACATTATGTGGATATCTAAAACCCACTTACCGGATGAAAGTCTGAATATTCAGTTGATCTCAATTAGATTTTTCTAAAAGATCAACAAGATTCACTCTCTGCATACCCATAAACCCGTTAGTATTTTCTGACAATGCTTTCAAAATGGATAGTTTTGAAATTGCGACAGTCACACCCCGACTAGATGCTTGCTGACAGTCGCTTTTACACCGTCATTTCAAGTGGTATAGTAGGAACTTTAGAAACATAGATATACGGCGTCGCTTATTCGTTCTTTCCGTCCACATCTCCGCTGATTAAGTGAGAGATGAGTGCTTTTAATGCTCCAGTGAGCAGGGTTGTATAAACTGGAAACACTTTGAATGTGACCAACGTTTATTCAAATATACAATCCTATTAAACGACATGATAGATTGATATAAGCCGTTGTGTATACCAACACAGAGTGAAAAAATATGTGATCACTGCATATGGAATCGCAACTCCGTCAGTTACATCGTACGCATTCACACATAATTCATGATTTTTATTCACGTGTGTTTTTTTATATTATTCGTTGTTTATCTGAACTATATGTGTAAGCGAAGTCAGCTATTAATTTTTACTCAACTTCGCTTCACTTCACCCTAAACTTGTGTCGTACATGGTTGATCCGTTGACCCCATCTGAAACATATTCTTCTTCACCTAACTTTGCATGACCTTTTGTCTCTCAATTTGTCTAAATAATCTAGTAATACAACAAAATTAAGTCGAAGTAGATGTAAGAAGCCAAGGGGTATCAATCACAGCAGAGTCGGAGTATATCATAACGTTTTCATTGGACAGAATCGCAAGGCATTCGAACTTAATAAACTTATTAAAATTTACAGGCTGAGCCAAGACATTATAGCAATAGATACCGACAGATATTACTATCAGCCATAATTAGTGAGATTCGATAGACTTCCATTCCTTCTGCAGGAAATACTCGGACACTGGTGCATGAAAATTCTCCTCATCGCCTTACTGAACGCAGGGAAGTTCAACATAATGACTGACCCGAGTTCACTTCCAAGAGTATGTTCAGGATATAACTAGCTAGGCACTTAGCTGACCACGTAGATGTTTACTCTAAAGTAATTTGGCTGGGCTTTTGATCTATTGTAAAACCGTTTGTAGAGTCTTTTAGCGACCTGAACTAAAAGGTTATAAAAACGTCGGTAAATTTATAAAGTCTTAAGTTCAGACTAATCAAACGTTTACCACAGGATTGCGAGCGATAGCAGATAACAAAAGCGAGGTTAATGGAAAAGGGAGTCGTGATAAGTAGAACAGATTAACTATTTAAATTGAATAGAGGAATGGGTTAATTAGCCGAATTTCGATGAAACTTCTTTAGAATGTTGGAATCTCGATTTCCTTTGTAGGTCAAAAGGGTAAGTCTCAGAGTAGAACATTTTAGGAAACGATTCAGCCGAAATATAGCTACTGTTTAGTTGCCTGCTTTTTACTAACAATGTGAATTAGAGATCGACATGGGATATCCAGCCATTAATAAAGATGATAAAGCGTAGCGCGCATACTTGTTGACCCTCGAAAATTTGAAGGCAGTTTAAAGATAACACTTCATTCATCTAATTTCTCGAGATTGCCCTTTTATCACGAGAACTGGATAATATACAGAGCATTCTTATCCCGTTGTGGAGCAATGCAAATATGTTTAAGACGCGTCTCTATCCTTCTAAATGTAACTTATTGCCTAAGACAGGTTTGCCTCAACGACGCAGATGCATTCATTCTTTATTTTCCTTTCGTTCATGAATCTCGAAATCCCCTTTCTCTTCTTTATTTCTCTTTCTACATATAACTCTCTCTATCCCCATTGATACCATTACCACTTCTATTAATATTGCATTTTTCAGGATAATTTCATAGTGTTGTAATCTTGTGGTGTGAAAACTTGGACTAGTGTACGTTTGTGTGAGGTTGTACTTTACATATAATTGACTGACTGTATCAATACCTAGTCTGACCACAGGGAGTGGAATGGCTGAATACGTCAACTTTCCCACTTTCTTTGGGAGTCCAACCGGTTCTGGCGGGTTTACATTTGACGAAACGTCGGGACGTCTATAAAAAAAATCAACTTTTGATGCGACATGTGGTGACTTAGAGTTGTTCATGCTATTCTCATGTTCAACACTCATGATTGGTTGACTGAAAATATTGTATACTCAGTCTTTAGAACTCTGTATTCCATTTGAACAGATTCTTTGTTTCTTTTGTTAACATCTTCACATTTTTTATATTTTTCATGCATATATTTCTCCTTAACAAACTTGACCCATTCAGGGGTACAACTGTGGTGTATGCTACTTAAGTAGACCGATTTAAGTAGTATGTATCACCAATCAAAAGTGGAATGCCTGGCGGTAGAAGGTTGAGAAAATCGAAGAGAAGAAAACGAGAACAGAGAGTGATTGGTATAAAACCGAAGGAACAATAAAGTCTGAGACGATTGATGGATATTTTGCAAATGATGTATTTACTGTATGGATCTCAGATTTTACAAAGATATTCTGTAATGTATGTGAATACATTAGGTTGTCCCCAGCAGTGTTCTCATTCGGTACACAATGAATTCAGGGGTGAAAACCGACTATCTAATGGATCTTTTTGTGGTGATAAAACCAGATTATCTTATTTTTGGAACCCATCTGATGAGTAATACTAACTTAGTATTTTAATTTTCTCTAAACTTCAGTAAAGTTGTTTCTTTCCAACTATTTAAATTTAAACAGTTAACCAAAATGAGTGCAGATGATTTCGATGAACTAATTACGGAAACATCAAGGAACATTAACGAGCTGATAATGCTGTCCAACTCTAAAAAATGTGATGCAGAAGAATTTGATGAGTTGCTACGGTCATTCCTTCCTAGTCAAAACCTTGGTGATAGGTCAATTCATCTGACAAAATTTCGTACAAAAGTTGCCGTAGATATACTGTCAAAAACCTCGGTTTTCGTAAATCTTGTGTCAATTTATCGAGAATTGGGAAGAATGGCTATTCCTTTGAGTTTTTTAACATTAAATCCACTTCCCGTTGATAAATGGGTCCTCAAACTTATCGACTTCCAACAATTTTTGTCAAATTATATGACCGTCAGCATAAGCTTTACACGGAAACTGATCAAATCTGATATATATTTGACAGAAGTACGGCGTATATTAAATGCTACCAACACCATGAAAATGTCCGAGGTTTGGAACGCTTTGTTTTAAAATATAATTTAGTAGCTTGTACGATCATTAATGGATCACATTATCTCTGGATTGAATACTGCATTAATTTATGAAAATGAGTTTATTACACAAAGGCTTAAAGATTATGGTCTACGTGATATTTTATCGCGTTGTACTTGTCGTGATCCAAAAATTAAGGTTTGAGGAATTATTTCCAGTTAATATTTATTTTCCAGTTGGCCATAACCATTTTTTTAACGTTTACCTACACTGATATCAGTCAACTTCATCTAAAGGAAGAATCCATTGAGTTATTCTTAAACTGCTTTGATTATTTTATAGATGAAGGAATTGAAAGTGATGATTTGTTTAGTGCCTTTCAGTTTAATAAAGGTATGCTTTTTTTCAAACAAATAGTTTCTGCAGTCTGAATTATTTATTTTATATTTACCAAAAACATAAGGTATAACGTAAAACAGTGATATGTTTGCGGAAAACGGGCCCATCTTTACATTAGTTGGAGTGACATAAAAAAAACAGGTGAGTATTCCTGGAGACATAAAGTTAAGCCAGCAAAATATACAGTTTGGATAGATATATAGTACTGGAGTGTTCTTTATTTACCAGACGAGTCTCCAACTTTTCTACAGTCTAATCATAACTAGTAACCACCAGGAACTTTATTGAATGATCAATAATTTTCTTTGCACAAATAGACTTCAATATCACTTGTTTTATCTACTGAACATGTACAATGACATTCAGAAAGTTTTATTATTCAAATATTCAAATTTCAAAGGTCCTTGGTACGAATAAATAGTTGATTAATGACTTTGAATTTGGATTTAAAATTTGTCGGTGTTTCACAGGTTTGTTATCCTTAATCTTTAGTTAAATTTAGAATATCATAAAGCCAAGATTCGTATAAAGCTTGACAGACTCGGCACCATATACCTATTACAAGAAATGTCTATTCTCATCAATGCCTGCCAGTCAGTTGGAGTCAGATGTAGCCCTCAAAATATTGTGAATATGTCGGAAATTTTAGTGAACAACACTAAACCATCATACCTCAAGCTGTCTAAAGTAAACTCATATAAGACAGTGGCTCAATTGCTTCTTGTTTATTTAAAGCTTAAATATCACTAACAGCTGGGAACCAAGTGTCTGTCTCCCATTAATACTGTTAGTAGTTAGTAGGTAACTGGAGAGCAGTTCAGGACCTGTTGGTTGTTTCATGGAATTTTCCATCGATTATTATGGTCACCTAATATGAAATTGGACTGAAAATTGGTCTTTGTCTGTGACAGTTTTATCTAGGGCTACCTTTCAACCGATCTTGACAAGTCTAGAGAACTATTTTTTGTTACTTAGCTCTATCTTTTCTTATATTTGCTTTGTTATCGTTCCTCAATATAATTCATATCGGTCCAAATGTATTCACCTAATCTCTTCATTTACGTCTTCAACTTATTACTACTCAACACATTCCCGTCTTCGATTTCATCCGTTCCTCTTGAAGTGTGTTTTCTATGCTTAGTTTTCTACTACCATTGATATTATTATTTTAATTCGTCTGATTTTAATTTTACTGATTTCACTTTATTGTGTGAATATAGAGTGTAAAATCCTAAGTATGATACTTATATCAGATCCTACTTCAGTAATGATTGACGAAAGATCTCAGTTAATGAGTAGATTTTCTGTTAGTTTATGTTCAGTAAACGTTTTTTAAATTGTTCGAGATGAATTTATGAAAACTTATTGATTCAAAAAAGGCCATCAAAATTCATTGAGTTTCGATAATCTTATGTTCTAGATTTTCAACAAACATCTCAAAATGACTGTATGAGTTTAACTAGCGAGTCTTTAGTGCTTCACCTATTTGACACAGTTTTTAAGCAAAACAAACTTTTTGTATTTGTTGCAAAAGCTTAAAATGACGGGTACGCATAAAACAGCATAACGATGAGAAACGCTTAAATTGAACATTTAAATTAGTATAACCGTTTACCAAATACTATTGTAGATGATACTACATACCGGTAAATCCCTATTAGTCTTTGTATACACTTGTGAAACTGTATATTATAGACATTGGGATCCATTTTAGGCGTCAGAAAATTAAAGTCTTATGTGAGTTCTTAAACGTGAACTAAAACTAAATGATGAGGTTGCTTACCTGAATTTCTTTTTTCAAAACTGTTCAATGTTTAGTGGAAATGCCGGTGTGTAGTATTTATGAACCTATTTGTATTCCAGATAAATAAAAAAAGCACTCTATAATTGGCAGAAAAATTCAACCTAAGGCCTCCCTGCGGCGCTTCTGGGTAGCAGGGGCAACCTTGCTAGCTAACTTAAGCGTTCGGCGGACATCGAACTAGTCTACCACTCTGCTGCAAACCGAATTGACTGGGTTCCCGTGAGGTGCCCGAACACCGATTATCACGACGTGCAATGCTAACCAGCGTTCGGGATGGTTGGAAGAAAGTTAGGGGCGGCCAAACCAATACGTGGCATCAGTGCTTGAAGTCACTAACTTCTAGTCTGAGCCATGTTGGTAGATGCAGATTACCTGGTTGGGGTCCGCGTGACTTTCGTAACCAATGGTTGGAGACTCTTGGTGACATGGCTCAGAATCGATCACAATGGCGACGGTGTATGCACTCTCTATCTCCCCTTAAACTAAGAGTTTAAAATTGCTTCATATCTTTCTTTCTACGAACTAATTCTTTCTTCCTGTACTATATCCTTATTGCAGTCTTTCTTTTATATATTACCACCTCTGAATTAACTACTTTTATGAATCCGGTGTCCATCTTGTTGTGTTAATGAGGTATGGCAATTTGGACTAATGTATATATGTGCCTGGTCCTACGTTGTAGCTGACTGACTGAGGTGCCCAGCGTGTATGCTTTTGTATATGAATTGCATGAGTTTCGGCTTGTGTAGTTTATGTATGTGTGCAGAGGGTATGCGCGTGGGTTGGCACAAGGAACATAAACTGAAAAATGCCTGCCTTGTATTTAATAAAATCAGCAGCCTAATCCTTCAGGCCGAAGACATAATAAGAAATTATGGTAGAAAATACTAGGGAGAGGTGATTATCAACCCTCCCTGAAAGAGTGCTTATGTTTTTGTGTATCGTAAATTGCATAGGTGAAAGCCTTTATATCAGTGATATTCATGTTATGCGTCAGTGACAGTCAGCCGTAGCAAATCTGTTCAAAGGTATAGGTCACCATCTACCCACCCAGACGAGCGAATATACCTATATATATGTTATGGAATGGATGAGTAAACAATTGTGTGTCACCAGTGTTCATGTAGCGTATATTTGCTCACAAGGTAAGTATACTTATATGTATAACTGGTATGCATGTAGAATATACTTGCCCGTGGTATGACACCCGTGCGCCAATACCGAGGGGTAACGTTTTCTTCACGAAATCACATCCATGATGTGGTTCTATGAGTTTTAAGAAACGGAAACCATTTCCAGAAAAACCAGTGTGATTGACTAGCCTTAGAACGGCTATAACATCGCATCCCATTATTGGTAAGGTATAAAACTCAAACTAAACTGTTACATTCCGACAAAACAATATTATTTTCAAAAGAACAGATTTCTCGCTAGTTTAAAAGCCGATACTGATACGCGGTATACTACGCGCCAACCTCTCAACTGACTACTTGAACAAGAACACAAGAGTGAGCGAAAAAGTGCATTGGGCTACCGAATGAAATACACAAACACTTATATATATGCCACTGTATCCTTAGGAAATTGGCCCTATTGAAATGCACTTGATCTTTGGGTCACTTCTGATCGCCGTCGATTGACTTTCTGCTACTTCTGATTGACTGCCCATCTCAGGTATTTAAAAAATAACTGCTCGTCAGACAAAAAGAATCAACTAATGTATATAATGACCAATAAACCACGTAAACGTCCCAAATATGATTTAGTCAATATCGTTAGCACCTACTGTTTTATATGGAAGAAATTAAAAATTCATTCGTTTCAAGTTTGTGCTGACATGTTTTTCTAGCACAACGTGAAAAATTTCTTAATTAAAATACCTTAATACCAACATTTACCAGCATGCTAGTTGTTTGACAGCAATATAAATATTTATTATTTTAGTTACACCTATTTTGTGTCTCATTGAAATCTTTCACAAATGGATGATAAACATTCTTCTTCTTAATATAAACTTCAGTGCTACGTATTTTGGCTTTGGATGGTGAGAATAGAAATAAGTTTGCCCAGCGTGATGTTGTGGGACGCCTGAAGTTGTTGCCGAAATCTTTATCTCATGGTACAGATGAAATATCATTGACTACACGCATTTTATCCTCGAAACTTTCAAATGACGATGCTATCATGGAGATAAAGTTACTTGCGATGGAATTTTGCAACAATGCGATTGGAATAGAAGATGAAGTTAAAACGTTCACTGAAAGCTATAGTGATGATGAATATATACCTCAATATCCATCGTCTCAAAATGAAACTGATGACGTAGGTATGTAACAACGTCAATTTAGTACTGTTCTTAATTCTATTTTTGCATAATATCATACAGAACAGTGTTTTTTGTGATTGTCATATATACTGGATAAGAAACCAACCTAGCGCTTAATCCAAAAGGGCTTAATTTGAGCTTTACACAATGCTAAATGAAAGCTATCGGAAATCATGGAAATTGAATATTTCATTGCACAGTAAAATAGGTTAGCCTATGAAAAAGTCTCATGCTGTGAAGTTGGATGATGTGGGATCGAATCTGCCTGGTAGTACTAGTTCTCTTGCGAATAAAATTATGTCAAATCGCTCGAAGCCTAGATCAAGGCTATCCTATCTACAATGTCCAAACAGATAATATTTCAATGCAGTACATCACATGTCGAGTAACTCAAACTATTAGCCACATTAAAGCTTGGTCGATAGAACTCGATTATTTTGAAAGAATATTCCCTTTTTTCATTGGTAGAGATACTTCGCTACTGTACGTTATTCGTGCTGTTGATGCAGTTTATATACTCTTTGGGTTTCCAATTACATTGCAAAAATTTGCCTTGAAACTGGACCACAGAATTTCAGTCTGGCTTTTGTAAATGAAGTCCGCACTTAGTTTAAAGTTGTCGTTATTACATTATGATTCAGTTCTGGCTAAATCCCTGAAAATAGTTTTGGATATTTAGTATTTCGAAGTTTATATTTTAGTTTTGAATTATAATTTCATCTATGATGTACACTCTATTCCTTTAATGTTTACCTTTTTAAAGGTATAAACTTCTTAATAACTTATTGATAGTTTAGTACGCTCTTAATTACACTAGTTTTAACGATATTGTAAGTAAATCTATGTACAGCAACTTTCCACCTAATCATTGTTGTCGTTTGGTTTTTATTATTAACCCTCTTATTAAGATGTCACTAACCCCCTGCATTAAGTGGATCTGGAAAGGAGAAGAGAGTTATCCATATTCGATCTGCTGTCGCACTATTCCACTTTATCGACCAAACTTTTGATTAATTAAACATTTTTGATAGTGATAGCGAACTACATGACCTTAATGTTAGCTGTATTTATACTGGCAAGTTTTATAGTATTTCAAATTGTTTAAACAACTAGTATGGGACTGAGCGGTGTGTATCCACGACCCCGCCAGGGATCGAACCTAGCACGTCTAGTTCTTATAGCTAGTGCCTAACCTTTAAACTACTGAGTTGTTATTCACTGGTTTGTATTTCTAACTTTAGTCATTTCAAGATATTGCAAGACTATCATCCATTGTCACCTGTCAGTAGCTGCTTCACACCCGACTCCATTGATCACTGCTTGTCACCAGGATTATGGCAATCTCCTTTTGAAGTTAGTTGCCAGTAGGCACATGACATAATTTTGTCAAACTAAATCAACTATCATAAGTGTTGATTAGATTCGAGATTTTGATGCCGGAATCCTATCTAAATCCGCTTTTATAATCATATGTAATTAAATTATTATTATTATTATTATTTTTATGGGTATTATTTCATAGAATGTAGTGAAGTAATAAAAGAAAAACCTCAATTGAATGGTCATATTATGATTAGCTACAGTCATGATGATCAGGAGATAGCGATTAAGATTAAAGAAAGGCTTGTGGAGGAAGATATCAAGGTATATTAATTTTATTTTGTAATTTCAAATTTTTAAACATTTTCTAACTAAATTTTATACAATAATTCACTTCTATCCTCCAAACACATACTTAAAGCTAGTCAAAAACTAGAATGAAATGATTTAAAGAAAATATATTGTGCAATGAGATGAGATTCGATAAATCCCATCTTCAAATTCATAAGTTTTAGTCATGCAGAAATGTTTTACCTGATTGTAATTTAAATTGATGTAATACTTTCAAACAATTTGTGTCATAATATTCTATTTATTACATATATTAGTAGTTATCTTAAAACTTAATCAGATAATGCTATGGTTACAGGATTATCTTAATCGGGTTTCGAAAATTTGAAGGAAAATGCCAATGAAATTAGCTAAAAAGAGAAATATATTTTAGTTATTTTCATATTTAATAGGAAATTTAAATTATGTATGTTATGCTTCTTTTAAAAACATCATGATTCAGGGGTATCATTCGTAATAATAGTATATTTAATCTATTTTAACTACGAATATTGGAGTCAAGCTTTACACTCAATATTATTACTGAAAATAAGTAGAGCTATTCAAGAGGGAAAATTCTATATACACAAACCGTACAGTATCAACGATATGACTTATCATATGTAGGTTTTAAATAGCAGTTTGGAAAACGGTAATATCATCTTATTTATTAGTAATTCTGTGGTAAGAAAGGCTATCAGCAAATAAATAAAGCTTTTTATGTATTGTTATTCTCTCAAACAGCTATGATTGTAAGCGTCTTGAAAATGGCTTGTTGGCGAATTCTGTTTTGTTAACTCATTATTGAAAAATAAAGATTTCACTCATAAGTCACTTTTCAAAAGAATATTATTGACATTATTTAAATCTCAGCTCTTTACAATCTGCCGTAAACTAACGTCAACTTCTTTAAAGCTTAGACTATTGGAGAGCTCATAATATCCTTCGATTTGAAGCGGCTATATGATGCGATATTTATCAGATAAATTCGTGATTTATATTTTTAACTTGAGGTTTTTTCACACTTTGAAACTCATATTACTACTTCAGGATCAGTCTACATCGAAAGTTACTTTAACAATAGAGTATAATGTCTAGACATGTTGACCACTTAATTGAATAGTTCTATCATCTGTGATATGGTCGGTGTTAATAAACCATTGTTTATTCTTATTATCCTTCATTAATTTTCGTTTTCCTTTTAATTGCAGTAACTTTATTCTTTTGGTCATCATGCTATCGAACCTATTTTCACCGTATTAGGGCGATATGTGTAAGCTTAAGCAGCTGCAATATTGTCTGAGATTTCACACTGTATACACTCATATCTTACTGTCAAATTGTCCAACTTAAATTATTTACGCCTAAAATGTGTGTGTGATGTTATCAGTTACATACCATCTCTTTCGAAGAGTATTTATCAATAATTAAAGTTTATATAAAGTCCAAAAGAGTTAAAACCTATAAAATAATGGTCAAGGGTTGACATTTAATCCAATTACTTATTATATGTTAAATTTATTGACCGCATTTTCATATTCTATTTATTATTTAAAGGATTTCAGCGAGCTGAAACTCTCAACTACTTTTTGTCAAGATTTATTTCAAATTTGTTTTCAATATTTGTATAAACACTTATTGTCCCATTCCAATATTTAAATGATGATCACCAATACGAAAAGAAGTTTCAAAGTCCTTAATTATTGAAATATGTGGCATTTTGCCTTTGAATTTACTGTAGTTCTAAATCGGATTTGTTAGGATAGTCGGGAAAATATACCAATAATTATTGTGTTAAGTCTACGGTGGCCTTGGACCGTAAATGTACATTTCTTATTGGTCGATGTTTACTTTACTTGTTAAATATTGTACAAATGTTGTTTCCTATTTTATGGTACGATGTGGTTTGTTTGCTTGGTATATAAATAGAGTATGTTTGAAATACAATGATTCATAACTCCGAGGCTGTGACTTGTGTTCTTGACTCAACTGGCTAGGACAGACAGCGAAGCAGGGCCATATCAGGGTACTAGGTCGTCCATTACATGTTTACGTGTCCACTGTCACAGAAGCGATCGATAAATACGCTGCGTATTATAACCTGCAGTCACACCCGTTACAACAGGATTGAACATTTTTGTTGTATAGTTCAAAATATTTTCAGTTGCAAAAAGTAATAGGTGATGTTTTACCTTTCACTGTTATGCGCCATATATATGTATAACTATCAAAAACTCCTTTTATTTTCTCAGATTTGGATTGACAAAGAGCACATGGTCCAAGATGTTAAGATATTAGATGCTATGGCAAGCGCTGTACAAAATGCTGCAATTGTATTAATACTTTTTTCTAAATCATACCAAGATAGTGAAAACACTAAAGCAGGTAAGTACGAAACTGATTAAATTCTACATAGAAATAATATTATTGAGGTGTTTATTGAAATTTCAACACATAATAGGTAAAAGTACAAGTTGATAGTAGTAGGAAGACAGGTGAACTGATAATAGTGAGAATAATAAAATACAATAACAAAACTCTTATCAATAGTTAATCGTTGGAAATAGAAGGTCAAACAAACATAAGAAGCTGAGCTTCCTTGACGTCACACTAAGCAGACGAAGTGACGGCACATTAAGTAGAAGCGTGTATAGAAGAAACCCCTCTTCATGCCAATATACTCACTTCTACAGTTTCACACCCATCCGTTACAAGAGAAATTTGGTCAGATGTCCCACGAGCAGAGCAAAAAAGATCTGTACAGTAGACACTCTAAGTCAGGAACTTGACTTTATCAACAACTCACTGACCGAGATCGGCTACCCCAGCGCGTTCATTAAGAAGTACATGCAGGATATAATAAAGAAGTCGGAGATTTCGACTGTTCGTAAGAAACCTTTATACATGAAAGTGCAATTCAACGGGGATGTGGCTAGTGACACTCTGAAATATAGGTTAACCAAAGTAATCACCAGGACATTCTACGCAGCCAATCTTGCGTTGACCTTCTCTTGTCGACCAGCGATGTCTACTCAAACGAAGGATAAGTTACCTGAGTTGGCCTCTTCCATGTGCATTTACAAATTCAGCTGCTCCTGTGGAGATAGCTATATAGGGCGTACTACCAGGCAAACTAACCAACGAATGAGTGAACATCTACCAACTTGGTACATAAAGGGCCAGAGAAAAACTATTCGCAGTTCTATATTGGCACATCTTATTGATAGCGGTCATGCAGTAGATAAATCGAAATCATTTCGAGTTATCTATCGTATACCTCCATCATTTCCCGACGGAGTCCGTTCCCGTCTCCTATATATAGCTGAAGCCATTGGAATTCGTACATATAACCCCAATTTATGTGTACAGAAGAAATACGTGACTCCCCTATCCCTTCCATGGCCAGTTATAACTTAACTAACAATTTTTTATTTATTTTCATTATTATTATTTTTATTTTAAATTTTATTATTATCATTATTTATTTTATTCTATCTGTGTTATCGTTAACCTTATTTCCACATCCATTATTTGTTTGTAATTTTCCGCCTCTTTGTATTCTTCACTATCTAATTATTTACACACATCTTATTACGTAATGATTTTAATGTTTTGTGTTGACTATTCCAAGTCTATTTACCCACGTTTGACCTTCTATTTCCAACGTTTAACTATTGATAAGACTTTTGTTATTGTATTTTATTATTCTCACTATTATCAGTTCACCTGTCTTCCTACTACTATCAACTTGTACTTTTACCTATTATGTGTAGAGACTAATTCTATTTCACTGTGATGATTGACCCATATTGCCTTGATTGGTTTAAAATTTTCGTATAAATATTCACGTATATTAGAGTAAAGCCTGATGACGATCTAATTGAAAACAATTGTTCGCTTATATGTGTTGTTCTGATTTTCACAATGGGAATCTTTAATATTGAAATTTCATCAAGAAATATCAATCCAACTCAACAGTAGAAACAAAGTCATTTATAGAAATCAACAAACTGTCCATCCTACTAATATATAAAAGATAAATAAGAAATTATCAAGAGATTATTGAAGCTGTTCGGAATCGGTGTTTCACATAAACCAGCATAATCGCTTCAACTAAACCTATGCAAACCAAAGGACGAAATGACAAAAGAAAAATAATCAATCGTCATCTGTAAAATAAACTGTTCCAGTTGCAGAAAACGCTGTATTGGACAAAGTGGATTCCTCTTTCATCTTTGCCTGCATTAAAATCAATTATCGGTCAAATTTCATGACATGTCCTTGATTGTATTTTTGCATTTGGACACTCATTCGACTGGAAATATATTGAAATCCTGGATAGAGGAAGTATTAATACCATCAGAGAATTTTTAGAAGCTTGGCACTCAGGTCAATCAACAAACACAAACAATCTATCAATCAATCAGAAAATTTATGGACAAATATGAGACCAGAAGTTAGATCAAAGGGAGATACAATCAAAGTATAGAGGCAGATAATGACAGGTTAAAAGTTAACAATAACCAATCTAGATCGAGGTCAACAGGACAAGCTGTGGAGTGACTTCTACCTGAAGTTTGTGCTGATGATGTTATTCAGAAGAACAATGAAAGATCCACGATCAATCCATCCAGCTCAGACAACCGAACTTCACCGAAAATTTGTAAACTGTAGTAAAATGACTGCTTAGTCGGTTGAAATTCAACTTTTCAACTTTAGGCCATACATTTAAAACCTTCCATATCTATTTAAGCTTTAACAACTTGGTAGTATCAGTAGTAGTAGTTTTTATACAAACAGCATGGTTTATAGCTGAGTATATAAAATTTAATTCAGTGATGATTAATTTGCATTATTATGTTGATAAAAATGGAAGAAAGTGACTTTTTCCGCACTTTTTACTTTATTTCCCACATTGCCTAACTGTGAATATAGTATTGAATTAATTTAAACTATGTGGTTCTAAGCTTAAAAATATAGGTTGTTGATCAAATCAACTTATGAATCAGTGACCTGTGAATTTAAGCCACATAGAATGTAAGGCAGCTTCTCGCTAATTGCATTAAAAGATGGTTCGCATGACATCCTAAATTGGTTAAAGTTAAACCTGTAACCCACTGGATGCCTATTTAGTGGTTTAGAGGTTAATTCCTCTCCATCAGGCCTGAATATCTAGGGTTCGATCCCCAGAGAGGGTGCATACTACTGAGGAGCTTCATATGAAGACGAAACAGCTGTCCAGTGTTTTTTTCTAATGGCTGTCTGAATAAGATCGGTTTTTTGATGCTAACCAGTTATGCTTAATGTTCGGACACCGATTTACATATTTTTATAGTATTAAACATTTTTACCGATTAAAAATTCCCATTTAAGTTCTTTTGTCATATATACATTGCACTATATGTATGAATTATTTAGTCATATATCACTTTTACATCGATATTTGACACGGTACAAAAACTGGAGTTTGCCTGAACTCGGTCATAATACTTATACCTTTGTGATAAATTGCAATAGTATGTACTTGTTGCTATTTGTAAACATTTTTCATCATTGTTCAATTTCTAATGTAAACGAATATTGTAAAGTTTAAAACTTATTACAGATCATTTTTATAACATGACTTTATTAGTATACTACGTAAGCGGTGGTATACATTTATCGTCAGTTCATTATGTTTTAAATTTTTGGTCTAAAAATAATAAAACTAGTTACATGCCAATTTTAACGAACAAACGGTTTTGTAGCTCATGATGAAAGCACTCTATGAATATATATGTCATACCACATCAGCACAAGCAGATGAAATTATTATGATGAATAGCAAAGGGATCAAAATAGTTGCAATATCCAAGATAACCATTAGAAATACGCCTGAAGAATACAATGGAAAGCTATATATGAAGGAATACTGGGAGTCATGGTCTAGAGGAATGTTTCGATGCTTTTGGGACCGGTTTCGATCCATGTTACCTAGATTATTCAACCACTGGTCGCCGTTGTCTCGCGGATCCCAACTAAATATTATACATCAACCACTACGGTTCAAACCAACGGCCAATGATTGCACGGACTAATGCCACATCTACCGATTCCTACTCCATCCGACATTGTACTTCGTGGCAGGCAGTGGTTGAGGGCATGTCTGAGCAATCTCAGATTTACGAATATATCAACTGATTTGCCATTGCAATCGGTATTTTTTCTAGAGGATATTAAAAGTTCGATAAATTCAATCTTTGAATTTCCTAGTCACATTAAAGATGACTTATTATTATAACTAAGCGAGTACCACCTGTAAATATAATTTATATACAAATGGGTTATTTATCTAAAACCTTTTAACTGATTAAATACATGCGTATGAATTTTGTATTTTCGGCTTTAAATTAATTGTAGATTTTGTCATTTTCTTTTATAAAACCATTGTTTTGTTATTAAAACTGTTCTAAACAGAGTCAACCAGGCTTAGACTATCAACTTTTTTCTCTTTTTTGTTTTATTCTACGCTTCACTTCATAGAAGCGGAATATACTCGAAAACTAAAAAAACCGTCTATTTTTCTGCGTGTTGAGCGAGGATTTGTTCCAGACTCTTGGTTGGGCTTCATGATTGGTGAAAGTCGTTATATTGATTTTTCAGGGAAATATCCTTTTGAAGAAAAATTTGAAGAACTATGCACTACGATTGTAAGTTTAAATATTTTAAAGACCTGCAAAACTTCTAACTGATTACATTTTCAGCTGTTGAATGTCTTCAGTTTTACTGATTGTACATTTCTTACGCTACATTTCCTCTCTTGCATCTCAACTTTTAACTTAGTTGACTTAAGATCCTATTTTCGTATTAGCAAGAAACTTTGAGAACTCAGTCAGAAAGTATGTAGGTATGCTTGATCTAGTTGAAAAAAACAACTTATTTCATAGGCGAAATCTCTTGGTTTTGATAAAGTTAGTGTATGCAGTTTTTCTGAAGAAATCGAGACATGATATTTTACTTGACCTCATAAAGTCTATGTGGTTAACCTGCACACTATTGACGCTTCGATTATCCGACAGTTGGTCAACTGTTTCTCGTATGTGTAGCGTCTGAATGAAATCTGTTATACACTGTTTGGATGGATGGGTTTGTCAGAAATTGAACGGACGAAATAAAGGCTGATTAATTTTTCCAGACTTTTCCTACTCTTCTGTAAACTGAATTTCGGAGAAAAACCTAACTTCTTACATAGAAACAAATATTCTGATGTAATTTTCGTCGATAACTTCAACGGGGGAACAGGTAAACCTACTTATGTACAAAAGAAATGAAGCTGACGCTTTCGTAATTTTTATTCAAGGGAATATATAAATAACGTTTGGATGCAAAGTTGACACTTGATTATATCAGTTAATAGGTTTTGACACAGTGTTTATCACTAAGTAGTTATTAAAATGTCGCTATTAAAAACTACTGTTTACATCAAGATTTCTGTTTTCAAACTAGTTTGCTTCTATGGTGCGTATGACACTACTGAGTAAACTAATATAAAGTCTTTATTGTGTCACTTTGATACTTTTATTAACTCATTCAAGTATCTATATAGTTATTTTAATTGAAAATGTCACTTCCCTATTCAGAATAGGTGTGAATCTGTATTCGAATTTGGAGTTGGTTTTGTAATATATCATTGGACATCATGGTGAATTCAGTCAGCCTAATCTATACATATTTTTATTTTGTTTTTCTTTCTGACTGCAGAGTAATATTAGTCGAGGATCGATCACTGTGAAATGTGAGAAACCAGTGTAAGTTGTTTGTATACGTATTAGTTGTTAGTAATGGACTTGTTCATCATTAAATTAATCTCTTTTTGAAGTTTTGTTATGATCTAATATGTCTGAGTAAAGATTTAAATGTGAAATTCTTATGCAAGGTTGAACATGAGAGGTTGGTTCAGTTTGTCGTCTACTTAGCTAGCTAATCTTGCAGTTATATCATGCTCAGTTAAACGAACTGATAAAACCAAGATAAGATTCGATATTTTTTCTAACTAATGTTGAAACGTTTTACATAGGAATTTATCATACTTTTCATAGATCGTTCTAAAACATAAACACAAGAAATCTAAATTTCTCAGGACGTTTGCCTCATGTATAAACATCTAAACAGAGATCGAATCACGACAATATTATTCACTAAGCAAAATGCCTCAAGTATTCTTCCGAATATAAAACATCTGGATATGACAGATAGTGACAGTGTGTTGTTGTGCGTATACATTTAATTGGTTCTACAATGTACATTATGAGTGCTACACTATAGTAGGATCTCGTTAGGTTGTTTTATTATGAAATTCTGTTTCAGATAAAAAAATATATAACTTATGTGGTTCACTATCTCTAACTCACTTCTTATGGAAGAAAGTATTGTAGATGTTTGACCTGTTTGTGTATTTACAATTCCTCATATTTTATCAGGGAAAATAAACCAAATACATGCGTTTCAATGTAATATGATGATATTGGTGATCGGGATGGAGAATCCACCTCTTCTCAATCAATTCGTTCTAACTTCTAACAAAATCCTATTTATCTACATACATATATATGTGATACGTTTTCTGTTCAATAACAATGATGCTTGATGAATAATGATAACAGAATTTAACTATTCTTATTAGTGTATTGAGTTATTTTTTTCATTAACTTGAAAAATTGCAACATGTATTATTATAACTTAGCAAACAATTTTTGAGGATGTCTTTTCCTATACTACTTTTTTTATAACTTTTGTTTGATGTTTATCATCACCACTTTTTATTTATTTATCAGAAATACTACGTCTTTCTAATACGCTTGTTGTTTTGTTGTATTACATCATGGTAGTATTTAAAGTGGTGGTAATTGCCTGTGGAAATCATTTTCTGTATATGAGTACTGAAGTTTATGACTTTATTCAGTTCAGATCTATAGTTCATTGGATCGAATTAAAGTAGAAAAATTCTTAAGTTTCTGTGATTTGTCGTTTTCTGTGAATATAAAAGTTTATTGTTGCTTCGTTGATTTTTATCTTGCTCACTATCTGCACACCATGAAGGGTGGTGTTTATAAAATTGAAAGGATCAAAATCGAGCGTCAGATGCTTAAACTGGGATAGTGAATATAGAGAAACCACCTCAGCATGTTGTAAAACCGTAATTCAAAACCAATGGTGGACATAGACCTCAAGATACGGAGCGGACGAGTAGATTACGAACCTATTTTGGGTCTTGAGTACCGTGATATGACGTCTTTTGACACCATTAAATTACCTAATGGATTAGACTGAAGGTCCTGGATTCAAATCCCGCATGCGGGATCTTGGATGCACTGTGTTGAAAAGTCCTATATTAGGACGAAACGGCCGTCTAGTGCTTCCAGGTTTTCAATGGTGGTCTAACATTTATCGATTTATGATCTCAACCAAAAAATCAACAATCTTCACAATCACATACTGATAATAAGTTTAATTTGACAGTATCAGTAAAACTAGTTAGTCGATTTCGTAAACCACATCTTATTACACAGACGGAAACAATTTTTCTCTAAATAAATTTAGTTTTTATAAAACTAGGATTTCAGACTATCACATTTTTTATTGGTAATCATATTGTGTGGAGAAGTTATAGTAACAGTATTCTACTAGATAACGGTTATGCTTATGAATAAAGTTTATAACAAATTAATAACTTGATGTAAACCCTTGTAGTATGGATATTTTGTAATATGTGGTAAATAATGTCCATAGCTTTCTTTTTTCGATTGCTTCATTTTAAATTTACTTCCCATATTGTTCAATCAATTTTAATGTTTTAGGTATTGTCTTCTTCACTTAAAACAATTTACCAAAATTTGTATTAGCAGTTGAAGTAATCAATAATTATAATGAAGATAATCAGAAGTGTTTCTGATGTACATACTGAATATACTAAAACTGAAATACTTACAAATATATATATATATATATATATATATATATATATATATATATATATATATATATATATATATATATATATATATATATATATATACAAAATCAAAACATTTCTTGAATTCATGTTCTAACTCAAAACACAATCTAATTAGTACTGTAGACAAACGGTTTTGTTTTTTCTCTTTAATTTTCATTAGCATGATTAGTTGTGTTGTTGGAATGTGGCTTCTGGGTCAAATTTATGGTAGTAAAAACAAGAGTTTATTCTTCAAATTAGTTATATATAGTAAACTAGTTAGTTTTAATAATTTTAGCATTGTAGTATGCTAGTACAACATTAATTAGGTTGATTATAGAAAAAAAAACAAATAATTGTTGATAAAAAAAACAATAATCACAGATTGCAAATAATCTTATCATGATCGATGAATGTATGAAGTTCTCTTCATTTATTTAAGAGTAAAGATAATTGAACTTTATCGTTTACGATTTGAGGAACTCTAGTAATTAGTTGAGAAAGTTATTGAAAAACATGAATTGCAGAAAACTATCCAGTTATATGTTTTAATTATTGACGCATCGATAATGTCACTGAGTAATAGCTTCTAAATAGACTAAATCTACTAAATAGTGATAATCATAATAGATTGGACGTTGAACCACAGGAAAATATTCATATTCCTGTTTTTTTCACTTTGACAATGTACATTAATAAAAGTGTATGACGCAGTAGGGATGATCAGAGCTAATGTAAAATGTGGTTTGTTTACATATAATGGTATCCGATCATTATCGTAATTCATATACTTCCCTAGATGGAGTCACTGTATTTATCCCTAAGTCTGAATTATTATATTATCACATCCAAATGATTGCAGCAAATAAGTTTCAGAGGGTAAGGTTAATGAAAATGATGAGCACAATAAATTGCAGTCAAAACTCTTGTCAAAAGTAACTGTGTTATATAGGCATGTCATGAATAGTAAAATAGTGTGAAATTGAATTAGAAGACAAATAAGTTATTTCTACAGTTGCTAATTTCAAAGTTGTGCTAAAAATAACAACAATCAACCTATTCAAATAAATAAATCACAAGGAGAAAGAAATATAAGTGAGTTCAGCTTGAATGATTATTGCTGTCATCGTTTTTGTAAGCTGACGTGAGAATTCTTAATATTATTATTTTTGAAGTACTTTCCTAACTGCATGAATCTATTTCCTATCTGTTATATTTCTCCAATAATCATTCAAGAGACTGTTGATTATCAGACAGAATAAGTCATTTTAAAGTTAATAATTTAACATTCTACAATGAAAAGAATTAAATATAGTTGACCATAATGTCTGCTCTCTAAACAATCTCTAACGTAATTAATGAAGTTCCTCAAGTCGTAAACGACAAGGCCCAATTGTCTCCACTCTTAAATAATTGAAGATAACTTCATATATTCATCGATCATGATAAGATTACTTTTTTTAATCAATAATTACTTCTTTTGTGTAAAAAACCTAATTAATATTATATCAACATAATATAGTGTTGAAGGTGCTGAAGTTGACTAGTATTTACCACATACGGTTGTTTTGATGAACAAAGTATTATTGTTATAAATGTCATAATACATTTGGCCTGGAAGTCACATTCCAACAATGGAAATTATCATGCTAATAATAAGTGCGAGTAGATATGCTTTCTACTATTGAAGGTAGTTAGTCCTTTTGTTAAATTTAGATGATGTGGTATTTAAATTCTTCTACAATGTCAGTTAAATTCTCTCACCATGACCTTTATGAATTCAAGTGTAATTCAACAGAATATTTGCGTTTTGCACTACTACTACTACTACTACTACTACTACTACTACTACTGTTAGAAATTATTGTGTTACTTTAAATTACGAGCTTTATAAACTGAATTTATCTGTAATGTTTAATTTTTGCCAACAGGACTTTTGTAATGGGATTAGTATCAAATAGTAACTAACTAATTGTGCAACGGAATGTCAACTTCCCTACAACGAATGGAAATAAAAGTCCGGTCATATGAAGTCATAAAGTCGATAAGGGGTTTAGCGATATATATATAAACTTTTATTCTCAGTATTTTGTACTTTCAGAATTTATGTTTATTTATCCACGATCTTGGGCAAATCGATTTTTCCGTTTCTTTCTGGCTTGTTTTGGTATGATTCTCAGTTTATGCTAGTGTCCAATACGCAATAGTCTAGTCACTCAACTGCATTAGTTCTAATCAGTTTGGCAGTAGTTTGTGAGTTTGTATGTATTATCTGAGTAAGTGCGTTTGTCTCAATACAATAAAGGTTCTTGAACCTACAGTTATCGCGTTACCAGACAGGTTGATTACATTGTGAAAAATAATAAAGAAAAAGTAAGAACACAGAAAAGATAGGAGACGACGATTGTCCGAAGCAGATAGCAACTAAATCAAGCAGTTGATAATGAGAGCGGTGTGAGCCGACAGAGGTATGAAAACGAAAGGTAAACAGAGATTATTAAAAACAAAGTTTGGATAAACTGATAGTACGTGATAATGATAATACTATTCACGTTACCAGGAACCCATCAAACGGAGCTAGTTCAAGGGGAGATATGGTAGTTCGTAGGATTCACTGAAGATTATGTGGTCACTTCCGCTGGTAAAGCATTACTTATGTGGATAACTTTTAGCGAGAGAAAATTGAATGGTACTTGAATTTCCGCTCTTTAATGTGCTGTAGTTTAGAGGTTGCCTCTAGGATATTTTGTTGAACTGTCTCGGCATACGTAGCGTATTGCGTGATGGTGGATAAGATTTGTAGCTCGGGTAGATGATCTGGATGAAGTTTTGTTCTCTGAGCTGGATGGTTTGGTCGTGGAGCTTTCATCGTTCTTTTGAACGACATCATCAGCACAAACTTCAGGTAGAAGTGAAGTGTTCGAATTTCTTCACATGTGGTTCACAGCTTGTCCTGTACACCTCGACGTTGATTGGTTCTTGTTGACCTTAAACCTGTCATTGTTTACTTCTTTGTTTTGGTTGCGTCTCCTATTGGTTTAATTGTTGTTCCTGTTTGTGCATAATTTTCCTGATTGACTGATAAATTGGATCGACTTCAATGTACTTGTTTATTGCTCATTGACCCGAGTGCCAAGCTTCTAAAAATTCTCTTGTGTATTGGGAATTGCCTCTGTCCGGAATCTCGAATGTGTGTCCACAGTTGTACAGGTGAATTGACATAAGTGAGGACATGTCATGGCGTTTGACTGCTAACTGGTGTTCATGCAGGCGCAGATGAAGAGGGCGTCCTCTTTGCCCGATGTAGTTTTTCGAAGTTGGCACAATTTATTTTGTAGATAATGTTTAGTTTGTCTTCTTTTGTCATTTCATCCTTCGGTTCGCATACGACTGATTGTATAGATTTTGTTGGTTTGTGTGCGACACCTATTCCGAAGGTTTTCAGCAATCCCGTTGTCGTTTCTGATATGCCTTTTATGTATGGTGATGTGATCCTTTTGTGATTTCTGTACTTGACTTT